ATAAAGGGGGAATGACCCTGAAGCACTTGCCCAACATTATACTCAATGCATAGCTCTTACTATTAAAATTTTGGATGAATAGAATATGTTGGTGATTTTTTTCCCAAGTACCATGAGATTTGGTACTGAGCAAAGGAATGGACCAAATTGAGGCTAGGGAAAAGTTTGACAACATACAAAATATTACATGTTTTACACAAGAAATTGACTCTTTGTGTTTCTATCTATTTCATTACACTTCTAGTGTGTTTCTTGTTACAATTTTGTATTTTAATTCAGATACGAAGATTTAATTCTGACTAGTCCAAATTCCTACAGGGCTGGCCATGTATGATAACTATATCCTGAGGGGTATGTTTACCCACCTGCAACAAGTCAGGTGAGGGTCCACGTGAGTAGTTTTCAACATAAGTTAGTTAATTTCTGCATACTCAAAATATGAAGACAGTCATATATTTTCTAAAGGATTTAAGTCAGGAACTCACTTTAGTTTCTTTGTGACTTGGATGGGAGAAAAAAAAATTATCAAAAAATTTTTTTAGAGGTCAACTTGACCACTATGAAGTTTGATCCAGGTAGGGCCACGAGGAGAGAAAATATTCCCTGGAAAAGGATTTTACACAAAGAGGTTTTCTGACCATGACTTGTCATCTATAATGGTCACTTCACACCTTCCACCTCATGAACACTCTGTGAGTGAAAATATGAGCCAAACTGAGCAAGGGGAGAAAAAATATGCTTTGGACAAAGATTTTACTAAAGATAGGTTTTCCGACCTTGACCTTTGAACTAGAAAATAAATCCAAGTTCACTGCACACTCTCTACTTGGTGCACTCTTTAGGTGAAGTTTGAGTCTGACTGAGCCAAGGGTAAGAAAATATGCTCTGGATAAGGATTTTACACAAGGATGTCTTCGATCTTGACCTTTGTTTGAAAAAATTGGTTCAAGATTCCTGAACACTCTCTGCCCATGGATTTTCTATGAGTAAAGTTTGAGCCAGGTAAGGCCAAAGGGAGAGAAAAAAATACACTGAACTCTTATGCAAAGAGATTTTCTAACCTTGACCTCTCATCTAGAAAATTGATTTAAGGTCACTACACACTTCTACCCAGGGGCACTCTATGGATTAAGTTGAGCCCAACTGAGCAAAGCAGAGAGAAAATATGTTCTGAACAAAGATTTTACACAGAGGTTCTTTGCTTAAAAAATTGGTTCAAGGTCCCTGCACACTCTAACCATGGGTGAAGTTTGGGCCAGATAGGGTCAAAGGGAGAGAAAATATACCCAAGACATGGATTTTTTAATCAAGATATTCAAAGGAGGTGGGGCTGATCCCAAGGCCATACATACATACAACTAAATTGTTTCTGACAAAATTTCCAGAATATAGGTTTTCAGGACCCTCTCTAGAATTCTAATTTGGATCCATAGTACTTTTGATCTCTCCTTTGATGTGAAAACTGCAATTCTGAAGTGTATGACAATTTTGTCTATTAATTAAAGTACCAGGGTATTCTCAAAATTAAAAATAGTTGGAAACTTTATTTGAATGTATTCCCCCCATTTAAGTAAGCAAAGTAAATTAATACATGTATTGAATATTTTTTATGCAGATTATAGAGTAACTATTGTGGGTTCTTCATTACCCAGGTAGAAGAGAGAGTACATCTAGAGGCAAACACTTATGTGCAAGTATTACTGTCTTATGACAGCAACTAGTATTTTTATTGTAAATATTTCTGTTTAATTCATAACCTGATTTTTAAAGAATTTTTTCCAAGAAAATAATCACTTGTGTAACCTCAAAAAAATCACCAAATATGCGAATGTTTAAAGAATAAAATATTTCTAAAACAAATACTCCCCTACCCCCACCCCACCCCCCATTTCCAGACTTTTGTTGCACAAAATACAAATAATTATACATTATTTGTGATTCCCCTCTGTTTTATACAATACCTGTAACACTTCCATCTATTTATCCCTCAAACATCAAACACGACTATCTGCATGAATTATACTCATGGCAAGAAGAGACCAAATCATGAAAGTCAAAATACTGTCAAATACATATGTAAAACAATGTTAAAAAAAAAGAAAAGAATTTTTAAATCGATGCATAACTAAATACTTCACTGATCAGAAGACTTTCATATTCATCCACTGCTGGATAATACACAGAGGTAGTCTGAGGTGTTCTGTAATAATTTCTAATATTAAAATGAACATTATATACTTATAAAACTGCAAAAATAAATAAACAAGAGATGTTTGTGAAACACTTATGCACCCCTCCCCCCCCCCCCCCCACACACACATAAATTATAGAGTGCACAAGCCTTTATTATGGGCAGTATACATTATGGGCAATGTATATGGAAATGAAATTGACCTTTTGAACTTAAAATCAATAGGGGTCATCTACCGGTACTATCTGAGATGCATCAACCAGAAATAGTCTTCTACATCACATCTTTGGCAAAAAAACATTTTTCATGATATACCAGTAATTATTTTGTTTAACCTTTGCAGAGATAATGAACAGAAATCAAATAACTGGAATTTTTCTAAGTCCAAGGGGCACAACTCTTTCAAAAATTGCTTGATGGTACCCAAAACAGAACTTGACCTAGATATTCTTATGATAAATCTGTATACCAAATTCCATTTCAGTATGTGCAACCTCTGCAAAGAAAATGAATGGAAACTGCAAATAATATTGGAATTTTTTAAGTCCAAGGGGCTTAACTCTGTCAAAAATTGCTCGAGTGTACCCAAAACACAACCTGACCTAGATATTGTTATGATAAATCTATACCTAATTTCATTTCAGTATGTGCAACTTCAGTGAAGAAAATGAACGGAAACTGTTGGCGGACCAACAGACAGATTGACCAACCGACAACAGCAAAGCAATATGCCCTTCCTTCTTTGAAGAGGGGCATAATAATTTATGGCATGATTTCAAAAAAAAAATTTGAATTGTCACTAAATATTTCAGAAAACTCTTAGGACCAACAACTTAATTCTAATCCAAGTAGTTTTCAGTGTCTTCAAAAGACATTGGAGCTGAAATTAGGCTGCTTATAATGAGGGCATTGCATCATGTAACATTCCTGTTTAGGCAACTTCTCTCATTATAACCAATATCTTTTGTAGTACAACTACATTATCAATAAGTGAAAGAGAGACTTCATACATCTTTCAACTGTATGTATCAAGTTGTAAGAATTATCTCTCTTTCAAGTACCCAAAACGTTTCTTTTTCGTATGTAACGAAAGCATCTTTTCGAAGAATTTGGCGGGTCCTAAAGAGGACCCTAAAGAAAAGAAGGAAGAGTTTGATTTTATTTTGGATATTCAGCATTGCTGGTTCACCGAGACATTTCCATGCGGGACGATTGAGGTAGACTAGGTTCTACAGACTGCCAGGATCTGGAATTCTCCAGCGCGAAGCTCTTGTTACATCAGTCTCTCACTTCAGCCATACTCGTGCCACTATCCATCGTTGTAGATGACGATGGTTGGCATCCCCAATGAACAATGATAATGAAGATGAAACTTGCAGCTTCTGAGTTGATGTGAACTGTCCATTCATCCATTTCTTGATTTGTCCATGTAAACTTGATAAACTACTAAGTAGTTTTATCATTACAGTCAATTTACATGTTCATTTTTAGAGATACAATCCACACAAGAAAATCATTCTACATAAATCTCAATCATACCAACATCTTAAAATGTATTTTAAAGGGAAAAAAATTATTTAAAACTTTAAACTACTTTGTCAGTTTTGCAGAAAAAATTCTTTAAATTTTTTTTGAATAAAATACAGAGAGAAAATAGCAACATATAGTTATCACCAAACAACCAGAAATTGAACAATTAAATTTACAAAAGAAAAACATAAAACATCTTGTATTAGCTTATTATTGACTTTGTTCCAAAACAAAAAAATCAAGCAAAAAAAAAAAAAAAAATCAAATGTTTGAAATGGTAGGTCAGTTCTTGTTCACATTCACTTAAGCAATCTTCCAAGCATACATGATACATGAGGATTTCAATGGCTTCGTTATCTCATGTAACTAGAGAACAATTAAAAACATAAAAATGTTACTAAACATTTGGCAAACATTTCATAATTATTGCACTATAATAGATCATTGGCAATCTGCAGTCCTTGTCCTAATATACATATATATACACAAAAATTTATATACATAAAATGATGAAATTGTCTGGATGTACCAACAAGCATATATATATCAATTACTTTCAAGGTTTGCAGCATGCATTTAAAAAATTTTTTTTATTATTTTTTTGTTTGTAGAGGGAATATTGTTTTTTCCAAGAACTAAAAACAGTTCATGATTTTCTTTTTTCATTGTTTTCTCTTAAATATAAAAATAAATTTCAACAAGGAATAAAAATACAAAGACTGCTGCTTAAAATGAACAACCTTAAAAATAATTGATTCCGGGTTGACAAGAGAACTGTAGTAACAGATGAAGTTGACAAATAAAATTAATAAATCTTATTTTTATATCTCTTACTACTTCATACACGATTAGGGAATAAAGGGGGAAACATACATGTAACCTTTTTTTCAAATAAAGCCATTTTGCAATTTTCTTTTCCAAGATTATAAAGATTTATCTTAACTAAATATGTATTTTTGAATTTATACATACTTCAAAAAAAATCATGCCTGAAATATAACTGTCACAATTTACATGTCAACTTTCACCTGTCACCATCGTAATCATAAAAGAAAGAAAGATAGATCTGACAAAAATTCAGTTGTAGAAGAAAAATGTGGGTTTTAAACCCAATAACAAAAAAAAAAAAAAATCATATTGACTAACGTTCACAAAATACACATATCACAAGACATAATCAACAAACTCATGAATTCAATCAAATGGCAATTCATACAATACTGATTTCATGAGATTTGCACTTCATAAAAATAAGTATCTTTGGAATGTTTAGCATTGTCTATGCACTAACTTGCACTTTTAAAAGCATTTTCAAGTGACTCGAGACATTTTCATAGTGACTTGTTTCCACAAAGTCAGTACTCATCATCCAGTGAGACGGGGGTTTTGGGAGCACTGTCGGGGCAGGAGGATCGCTGAAACGTGCACCTGCATATGCAATGCTTCCTGCATCAAATTTGGGGCTGGGACTTCCCCTACTGTTCTCGTCAGCCGACGAAAACTGACCGTCGTGATGAGAAAATCCTAGTTTTGGAGATCCTCTTGGCGAATTGTCAAATTGCTCAGGAGGAGGTGAGCTATTTTTAGACTGTCTCCTCTGAGGTCGTCTTCCGTGTCGCTGGTTCGGATGTTTCATATTGGCTGCCCAAGTCATCAGGAAAAAAGACGGATTTCTTCGCACTTTCCTCAATACGAGAGAAAATTTTACAAAATTTAAGCACTTCTGTCAAAGTTGTTTGTAAACAAAGGTTTCAATATGGCGGACCAAAGGAAAACAATTTCGATGAAAACTGTCACTTTTTCACTCTTTCGAATAGAAATTCGCTCTCTGAAGACTTCTTTCCTCTTCCTTTAAACAAAAGCTTCAAATCTAAAGTAGATGTGTTTGAACTTTTGAGCAATTCGCTCAGAATTTTGAGAGACGTCTCTCTGCCTTCCAGCCAGGAACTTTCTTCCTTCTTCTACGCTAACAAAGCCGTGTCCAAGGTCACTTTAATATTACTATCCAATGAGGTGTTAGTATATTTTCACGTGATATGCAATAACCAATCATTGAATAGGTTATTTTTATAAATAACCCAACGAATGAACTTTGCAATATTGTATATCTCTATATTTTTTTTAAGTTTATACATATTTTCAAATATTTATGTTATAAACATTCCTACCGAATTATAATTTTAAATTTTAAAAGACTTAACAAAATATTCGTGATTTTACGGATTTTCACGAAAATTAATGAGTAAAACGGAAATGACGTATCATACGGTAGGCGGGGGATCCAAGGCTTGACTAACTTTACAGATGAACGATTTCAGAAAGGAGATCCTCGATATATGTTCGCACATTACCTATCTGAAATAACTGAATTTTCTAGGAAATTTGTGAACATTGAAATAAAAACAGGTCAGTATATTGATATTATCTCCGAAGTTCTTATCTAGGTTAGATATTTTGCGCTTAAAGGATAGAGTTTCTGACTTAATGTGCCTTTTTTCATCTGTTCCTGACCCATCAGTGAAGCGTGTCCGTCTATCATGCATTGCCTGACGTTAAATTTAGGGGATGGGAGCTAAGTACTGGGCCTGCTGGATTTCCGTTAATCTTTGGGCAGTAATAAGCATTATGCTGCCAGGCCTTGATAATTGATTGAATAAATGCTTTATCTTTGTATTTTCTGAACTTGTAGATATGCTATATTAAAACTGTAGAATGTGTGTTCAAGTAAAATGCAAGGCTTTCAGAATGCTATTTTTCACTATTTGAATCTTTTATATTGCAAAATCTAAACAAGGAATCAATATTATGTTGATTCCTTTTATAAGAATTATCTTGCTCTCAGTTTCAGAAAATAAAAAGTCTATCGGTTTGAAATGGACATAGAACATTTCTTCATTTTTTCCCAAGATTTTTCATTCATGATAATAAGCTTACAAAATAATACTTAATATAAAATTACTTTTCCAGCTTTTGAATAATATGCATAAATGTAATACAGTTGTTAAAAACTACATGGTATATCATGAAAATTGAGAGACAAATCAATGAGGATTGGCATTTTTCATCATTTTTATTGGGATACTTAAAGAAAGATTATTAATAGTCAATTCGTATTTTAGTCAATTCCTTCTAGTTAATTTGCATGTAAATAAAGTTACTGCTTTAAGGACAAATGCAGTGTACCTTACCTACTGATAATTTTTTCAAGATATTCTTTAATTCAAGCTTATAGTGTCATCAGATGTTCATAGACAAAAAATCAGCGTGCATTACTAGGGGTTTGAAAAGATATCAATTGATGAAAATTCTTGTATAATTCAAAGAAAAATATACGAAAATTACTAAACATATATTCTAGATGTTTTGTTTATCCAAACTTGTTTAAGAAGAAGTGTACATCAGAATATATAGACATTAAAATGTAGCACACAGTTCCTTTAAGTATTGGAGCTCTTCAACTCCAAGGAAAAAGATAAAGTTCAATCTACGTTGCGCATGTCCTTAAGTAAAATAAGACATAAAACAACTTTTACTTGGTTCCTTTCAATCAAAGTGTATCCTTTCAAAAATAACTGTACCCAGACAAAATTATACGATACATATCATATTGTGAAGGAGGTGTATCGTTTCACCCTTACATCAATGCACCAAGTCAACTCAGCTGTATATGGTACCCATTTGTAGCTTGTTGTGATTCTGAGATGGTGTCCCTTCTTTCTGGAATCAGGGATTTTTTTCCTTTCAGTACCATACACTATATCAAAGTAAGCTCCAAACATACTAGTCTTTGATTTGAAATATTTTGAAAATTTTTTGTTTGTTTCAGTGGATCAGTGCATTTCTTATAATGCCAGTAGCCTCTTCACAGAAGGATGCACAAAATCAGCTGCTGCAGCACTACCAGCACCTCTTGCCTAAGTCCCCTACCTATCACTTAGGAGGGCAGCTCTCCCCGGGGTCATTGGTCCCCAGTTCTGATCATTACATAAGGAGAGAGGAAGGTGCGACTTATGTGTCTGATCTCCGGCCCCTCTCTGCTCTTCAAGCATCAACATCTGCTGAAAGGAGTGCCAGCTTTTTCAGCACCCACAGCCCACCACTTATCAACCTCAGTCCAAACCTGAGTCCTACTGTGGAGCCCCAGAGAGTCTCGCCATTTTATGACCTCAGAGAAACAACTCGCCGTAGGAGTTTCTATGGTATGTTTTAGCTGTAAAACTAAACAAATAATAAGTTTTGAAATTACTTAACTCTATACCATAATCTTAATGAGAGTTCAAGTTGGATAATCGACCCTCTGATTTCCTTAAAATGTATGATCAGAGCAATGAACAAAGTATTGTTATTAATTTGTTGAGCATGACATTGTTGACATTGTCTTCAAGAATGCTTGAAATGGTGAGGTGACCAGAATTTTAAAATTTAGCACAAGCAGTGGAAGTATATATATAACTTCCTCTATGTTCTTCCTTTCATGAAATTATATTCATGGGCAGATATTCAGCCCTGTTTCCAATCTAAAATTAAGGTACTATTTTGCAAAGGATAGGTGTGGTTTTTCCCAGTTTAATGATTAAATGAATATGGAAGGTTTAAAAAGTATTTAAAACATTGTTTCAAATTATTCATCCTCTGCACTTGATTTGTTCCTTTTTTAAGATCCACCTGACATGGTGGTGGAACATGCATTTGGCCCTGGCTCAACTTCAAGTCATGAGAGTCCTTTTATACAAGATGAAGGTTCTTATAGTTTTGTTAAGATGAATAGTTTAGTGATTTTTCTACACCCAATTTAGGTCCGAATATCGGCCCTTTCCCCTCTCAAAAATTACCGATTTTTTTCCCAGTTTCTGTTCCATTTTTCCCAAAACAAAACTGATGTTGTTTTTGTTATGTTAGATTTTTCACGTACAACTTATCTAAAATGGAACGCTATTGCTCTCGGTCATTCAGACTCTTAAAATAGTAAGGAACAGCAGATTACTTTGTGCGTTTACAAGACTTGGAAAAACACATGGTCATGTCTAGGGCTGTCACGAGTACCTGAAATAACCAAGAACCGCGGTCCAAGTTGTTCGGTTCGGTTCCGGTTCCATTTTTCCGGATTTCGGTTCGGGTCTGGTTTATATATTAGAGTCTGTTCAATACAAAAAATGGCGACGAAATCAAAGGAATGATGACGATAACAGTGATAAATAAACATCACAACTGAAATCTACTTCATTCCATGACAAAACACTTGTCAAGGAAGTATTAGATAATTATCAAAACGAGCAGGAATGGTCAGGTTGTGGCTAACAGTAGGCCAAGTCACCGATGTCTAGACGTTCGCATGGTTAAGGCTTGTTTCCAATGTAAATTTATTGTAACAAATAAAGATTTTTCAAGTTAAATTCATGAAATTAAGGTTTAAAATAGATGTAAATACCCGACCTGAAAAACCCGAAACCGAACCGAAAACTTACAGAACCGACCCAACCCGAAAAATTTTGGAACCGTGACAGCCCTAGTCATGTCAAACTCGTTGTGTAAATACATCGTAAGAAAGTGTAATGTGCATGTGAACCGGCAAAACATACATGTAGCTTTATTTGTAAATCCAAGTACTAGAAACTCTACAATAAGCATCCCTGATTCCACGAAAATCAAACTGTTTCTACATCCGGCAGATACATCTAGTATTGCAGAGAAATGGCAGCAATATGATTAGCTATGATTAGCTAGGGTAATTAAAAAGCTTTAATAATTATTTTGAAAAATAAATGATATTTGTCATAAATCATGTCAGATTATTTTATCTTCGATGGCTAATACGAGAAAGATTTTCTCTTATGTCTACTATTATGGGGGGAAAAAATGGAAATATTGGTTGGTCACAATTAATAACAACTTTCAAAGATTAAAAAAAAAGGTTAAGAATTTAGAACTGTGTCTAATTTGTTATTTTTTTAGCAAATAAATTGAATAATGATGTTACATTTACTTATATACCAGTATTTTATTTTACCTGCCAATTAAGATTAAATTTCAACTTTTTTGATTTTTCCCAATTTGATACAAATGTCGATGATTTTTCCCAATTGTAAAGGCCCAGGCCCCTTTTAAAAAATGTAGAAAAATCACAGTAGTTGAATCATTTGAAAAATATGAATGAATGTCATTATTTTAAAAGGACTTGGACAAATTCTAATGCTAGACAATAGATAATTGTTAAAATTTAGGTTTGTTAAAAGATTAAAATAAATTATACCTAAGGTATACCTGATTTTGAACATCTAAGTGCCATTTTGAGTGAAAATATGACTTGAATTTTGTCAATGACTGTAACATGGGTAGATGTGATCAGTGTCATAAAATATAGTTCTCATTTCTGACATGGTCGTTGTTGAACAGTATTGAATTTTCCACAAGAATGTTAGTGGGTTTTTTTTAACTGATCCAACTTCGATCAACAAAAATGTCATCTTCACTAGCCAAGGGTTTCTGATACGCTACTCCAGGGATTTTTTTAGGGTCTCTCTGGGGCCGAAATTCGGCCCCATTCCCAATGCTGAAAAGTGCATGTTTTTCCCAAAATCATACCTAAAAATTCCCAATATGAAAAAAAGTATTAAGTTGTAAATTATTAAAATAAAATAATGACAAAAGGTGTTT